GATACATTTGTGACAACCGATGAACGTATGTTGGTACATCCCTATCACCCAAAGTTCATAGTTCACACTAGGGCTCACTTTTGATGTTGCACATTCTACAAGTTTTAGCAAATTTATAATGATACATGTGCATGATTATAGGATCATACAGAGTGGCCACCGTCCCCAACATCCTCTGCGTTTCACCTATCTATTCCTCTCTCTCCCCTAACCTCTGGCAACCATTAATCTTTTTATTATCTCCACAGTTTTACTTTTTCCAGAATGTCGTAATAGTTGGAATCATATACTATGCCTCCTTTTCAGATTGGCTTCCACTTAGTAATATACATTTAAGGCTCCTTCATGTTTTTTTGGCTTACTAGCTCATTCCTTTTTAGCACTGAATAATATTCCATTATCTGGACGTACTACAGTTTATTTATCTATTCAACTACTAAAGGACATCTTAATTGCTTCTAAGTTTTGGCAATTATGAATAAAGCTGCTGTAAACACTTGTGTGCAGGTTTTTGTGTGGACAGAAGTTTTCAACTCATTTGAGTAAATACCAAGGAGCACAATTGCTGAATTGTATGGTAAGAGTATGTTTAGTTTTGTAAGAAACTCTCAAAATGTGTTCCAAAGTGGCTGTACCATTTTGCATTCCCATCAACAATCAATGAGAGTTCCTGTTGCTCCACATCCTTGCAAACATTTCGTGTTGTCAGTGTTCTAAATTTGGCCATTCTAAGAGGTGAATAGCAGAATCTCATTGTTGTTTTAATTTACAATACCCCAGTGACATATGATATTGAATATATTTTCTTATGCTTACTTGCCATCTGTATACCTTCTTTGGTAAGGTGTTTTTTTCAAGTCTTTTGCCCATTTTTTCTTTCTTTCTTTCTTTCTTTTTTAGACAGGGTCTTACTCTGTTGCCCAGGCTAGAGTGTAGTGGCATCATCATAGCTCATTGCAACCTCAAACTCCTGGGCTCAAGTGATCCTCCTGCCTCAACCTCCTGCATAGCTGGGACTACAGGTGCACAACACCATCCCTGGCTAATTTTTTTTTTTTTTTGTAGACATAGAATCTCACTATGTTGCTCAAACAGGTCTCAAACTCCTGGCCTTGCATGATCTTCCTGTTTCGGCCTCCTAAAGTGCTGGGATTACAGGTGTGAGCCACCTCACCTGGCCCTTTTTGCCCATTTTTAAATCAGGTTGTTCATTTTCTTATTACTGAGTTTTAAGAGTTCTTTGCATATTTTGTACAATAGTCCTTTATCAGATGTGACTTTGTAACTATTTTATCCAGTCTATTGCTTGTCTTCTCATTCTCTTGACACTGTCTTTTGCAGGGCAGATGTTTTTAATTTTAATGAAGTCTGGCTTATCAATTTATTTTCATTAATTATGACTTTGGTGTGTATCTAAAGGGTCATTACCATACTCCAAGGGCATCTAGGTTTTCTCCTATGTTATCTTCCAGGAGTTTCATAGTTTTACATTTCACATTTAGATCTATGATCCATTTTGAGTTAATTTTTGTGAAGGGTGTAAGGTCTGCATATGCATTCATTTACTGCATGATGTCTAGTTGTTCCAGCACCATTTGTTGAAAAGATTATCTTTGCTCCATTGTATTGCCTTTACTCCTTTGTCAAAGATCAGTTAACTGTATTGATGTGGGTCTATTCTGGACTCTCTGTTCCACTGATCTAGTTGCCTATTCTTTTGCCAATGCCACACTGTCTTAATTACAGTAGCTTTATGGTAAGTTTTGAAGTTGGGTAGTATAAGTCCTCTGACTTTGTTCTTATCCTTCACTATTGAGGTAGCTATTCTGGGTGTTTTCCCTCTCCATATAAACCTTGGAATCAGTTTATTCATATCCATAAAATCACATGCTTTGATTTTGATTGGAATTGCATCAAATCTATAGATTAAGTTGGGAAGAACTGACATCTTGACAATATTGGAGTCTTTCCATCAAGGAACATGAACTATGTCCTCATTTATTTAGTTCTTTCATACCTTTCATCAAAGTTTTTTAGTTTTCCTCACATAGGTTTTGTACATATTTTGTTAGACTTATACCTAAGAATTTCATTTTTCTAGAATGTGAATGTAAGTAGTAATGTGTCTTTAATTTTATATTCCACTTGTTCACTGCTGGTGTATAGGAAAGCAATTGACTTTTGTATGGTAACCTTGTATCCTGGAACCTTGCCATAATTGCTTATTAGTTTCAGGAGTTTTTATATTGATTCTTTCAGACTGATTCTTTACATAGACAATCATGTCATCTGTGAATGAAGATAGCTTTATTTCTTCCTTCCCAATCTGTATACTTTTTATTTCCTTTTTTTGTCTTGTTGCATCAGCTAAGACTTTTTAACTATCCAGTACAATGAGTGGTAAAATCTTGCCTTATTCCTGATCTTTGTGGGAAAGCTTCAAGTTTCCCACCATTAAGTACAATGTTGGCTGTAGAGTTTCTGTAGATTTTTTTTTTTAACCAATTGAAGAAATTCCCCTCCATTCCTAGTTTACTGAAAATTTTCATTATGAATGGGTGTTGGATTTTTGTAAAGGCTCTTTCTGCATCTGTTGATATGATCATGTGATTTTTCTCCTTTAGCCTGTTGGTGTGGTAGATTACATTAACTGTGAACCAGCCTTGCCTAGAAAAAGTCCCACTTGGTCTTGGTGTACAATTCTTTTTATACATTGTTAGATTTGATTTACTAATATTTTGTTCAGGA